AGACAGAGTCTCAGTATGTCACCCTCAGTAGAATGTTGTGGCGTCACAGCTCACAGCAACCTCAAACTCTTGGGTTCAAGCAGTTCTCTTGCCTCGGCCTCCCAAGTATTTGGGACTACAGGCGCCTGCCACGCTTGACTACTTTTTGTTGCAGTTATCATTGTTGTTTAGCTGACCCAGGCCGGGTTCAAACCCGCCCATCTGGATGTATGTGGCCAGTGCCATAACCACTGGCTATAGGCGCCAAGCCCTTTTTTTGTCATTTGGAAAACCAAAAGAAGCACCATTCCCCACTGAGAAGCAATGATTGGAGGATTCGAATAAATTTTAATGCCGAATTTTATAAAAATGGTATACAAGGGCTATCCAGAAACTGTCCAGCTATTGTTAACACTATCATTATTATTATTATTATTATTATTGAGTCTCACTCTGTTGCCCAGGCTAGAGTGCCATGGTGTCATCATAGCTCATAGAAACCTCAAACTCTTGGGCTCAAGCGATCCTCTTGCCTCAGCCTCTTGAGTAGCTGGGACTACAGACATCTACCATAATGTCCAGCTAGTTTTGTTTTATTTTACCATCTGATGGCAATTAGAAAAATTACAGGCATCTACTATAATGTCCAGCTAGTTTTGTTTTATTTTTTCCTTTTTTTAGTAGAGATGGGGTCTGACTCTTGCTCAGGCTGGTCTCAAACTCCTGAGCTTAAGCAATCCACCCACCTCAGCTTCCCTGAGTGCTAGGATTAACAGGCATGAGCCACCACTCCTGGCCTGTTAACACTATTTTTCATATTATATGACTGGATACTTTACAGATAGCCCTCATGTTATCAGTTAACATTTGGGGAAATTTATCATTTGGGAAATATTTATCATTTGAGGAGTATAATGCTAACTTTATATTTAGTTGAATAAAGTATTTTTCTCAAAAATAGAACATTTTCATTTTGACCCACAAAAAGGTAATTTCATGTAGTTCCATCTCATACCTTCCAAGGCCCTGGTAGAGCATGAAGACAGAAAGGTACCCAAACTGCTGGAAGAGTGCAGGTCGCTCCTGAGTTTTGGGGCTTCTTCATTGGAGGAAGGTGGAACAACCAGAGAGTAATAAGTGCAAAGATGCTTAATAATTAGCCATGCAAAAGTCTTGGTGAAGAGGATTCCAGGGAGATGTGAAGCATCTTCAAAGGCCCTCAGACTTAGAAATCTCTCAGAAAGTATTTTTTAAATAAATAAATGAAAGCATGTTTATAAGAATGTACAAAGTAGACATAAACTTT